GATAGATAGATAGATAGATAGATAGATAGATAGATAGATAGATAGATTTCCAGAACTGGGCCTGGTGTTAAACCTCTGTAATCACAACACTGAAGAGACTGAGGCAGGAGGATTGACATAAGCTCATGAGGCACTGTCTCAAAATAAATACATAAGATAATTTGATTTCAGAGCTGAGCCTGGTACCATTTATCTGTAATCTCAGCGCTCAAGGCTGAGGCAGAAGGATCATAAATTAGAGGCCAGCCTGGGCTGCACAAAACAACAACAAAACCACAGAGGTTGTTTTTGGTGTTTGCTTGGTTTGGTTTTCAGTCTGTTTGTTTGTTTGTTTGTTTGTTTGTTTTCAATACAGAGGTCACACAGAAACAGGCTGGGCTCCAGGAGGCACTCGGCGCCCTCCGACTTGGATTCCATTTGGTTCCCTAAGCACAGCCCTTTTAGAACTCCCTGGTCTTGCAGTAGACAGCTGCAGAGAAGCAGCTTTGGCATCCTGGAGAGCAAGGTGTGTTGTTCATCAGGAAAGAGCAACACCAAGAGGGACGGCAGACAACGGGCAGACAGACACCAAATCCAGGGAACCAGTGCAGCCCAAAGCTACCCAGGGAAGATACTTGCTGGTACCCTGCTGAGTGGGCCCAGATGGTCACTGTCCTCCAACCCAGGGAAAAGTGCCAGCCTTTTCTGACCTGGAAGGTGATGATGGACAGCTTCAAGGAGCCGGAGACAGCGATGGTGTCCACGAGGTCGTAGGGCACGCGGTGTGAGTACTGCAGGAAGAATTTCCTGTCCACCGTCACCTGGTGGGAGAGAGTTGTGGGAGGAGTGGAGGCCAGGCTACGCCTGAGCTTTGCCCTCAGAAACGACGAGCTGCTTTTTTGCTTTTTTAGGATTTATTTCTTTTTATAAGTGCTCTACCTGGATATACACCTGCACGCCAGAAAAGGGCACCAGATTTCATTACAGATGGTTGTGAGCCACCATGTGGGTGCTGAGAATTGAACTCAGGACCTCTGGAAGACCAGTCAATGGTCTTAACCGCTGAGCCATCTCTCCAGCCCCAGGTGCTGCTTCTTACAGCCAGCTCTTCAAGGCAGAGGCATCGTCTTCAGTGCAGTGCCAAGGACAGAATGTGTGAGTCGCTGCACTCAGACCCTCTGTCCACTGGGTTCCTGTTTCCAGCTGGCGTTCAGTCATTCACTTATTACTCTAGGTTTATTCTTGTTTTTCAGAACACTTTTTAGAGTTATTTTATTTTAGGTGTACAGGTATTCTTCCTGTGTGTTTGTATATGTACCACATGCATGCCAAAAGAGGGTGCTGAATTCCCTAGAACTGGAGTCACAGATGGTCATGAGCTGCCATGTGAGTGCAGGGAACTGAACTCCAGACCTCTGCAAGAGAAGCAAGTGCTCTTATCTGCTGAGCCATCTCTCCAGCCCCGAGATTTATCTTTTTAAACTTTATTCATATCAGGTAATTTTTTGTTGATGTTGTTGAAACAGGGTCTCATGTAGCCCAGGCTGGCCGTCAAACACCCTGTGTAGATGAGGATGACCTTGAACTCCTTGATCTTCCTGCTTCCATCACCCAAATCCTGGAGTTACAGGTGTGTACCACTGTGACTTAGTTTGTGCAGAGCTGGGATCAAATCCAGAGCTTGGTGCATGCTAGGCAAGCACTCTGCCAAGTGAGCTCTATCCCAGCCCTTACCTGGGATAACAGCTAGGTGTGCTTATGGGCAGCAGAGGAAAGGCAAGCTCAGGTTCTGCTGGGAGGGAAGGAGAACCCCAGCATCACACAGACAAGCTCAGGAAAAGACACACTCACCCCACCCCAACTCAGAGACAGTGCCCAGGCTGTAAGGACACTTGGCCTTCAGCAGAACCTGAAGGAAGGTTAGAACAGTGTGTGTCAACAGATACGCGTTTGGAGCGAGGGTGTAGCCCAGTGGCAGAGCAGTTGCTGAGTTTGCAGGAGGCTAGGTGTGATCCCCAGCACCGTAAAAAGTAGATGTCGCTAGGGACCAGTGGAGGATGGGTGGAGTTAACTTGGACTTTGGGACAAGTGAGGCTCAAGAGGAGCTCTGGACAGTTGAGAGCTGCGGGAGGGAGGTCACTGCTAATCCAGCAATCAACCCCACACCTGTGCATACAAAATCGACTCTAATACATAAAAGTAGGAGAGGGAACTAAGAAGACAAGGGTTCCAGAGAGAGAGGAAAGGGATCAGAGGAGGGGATTGGGAGTGTGTGCGTCCAAAATGCCATGCCATGGGGGTATGAAATTATAAATACAAGGGCTTTGTTTGGGTTTTGTTTTGTTTTTAAGACACGTGAGGCCTAAAAACAACATGGTGACAGATTTTTGAGGTCTTATTTTCTAAGGAATAAAAGCAAGAGACGAATTTGCCGATACAGGCTGCAGTGTTGTAAGGCCAAGGGCAAAGGTCGCCTCTGTGCAGTGTCCTGGCCGCGACCTGATCTCAGTGAATGTGACTCCCCCAGGGAGCCCGCTGGGGGAGGGCTTTCCCACTCACCTCAAAATCCGACTCCTGCACCAGGAAGCACAGCTCAAAGAGCATCCCCTTCTTGAAGGGCATCTTCATCGTCCTCTCCTCAGGCCCCCACTGTCCCTGCTGCCTGGTGTTGCAAACCACATACCCGCCTTCTTCAAACCGGGGATTGAAATGGAAGGCGACGTCATTGCCACCGGAGCCGGTCTGAAAGTTCACGATGATGCTAAAGCAGAGAAAGGAGAGGAAGGAGCCTCACCAGGGTCGGACGGTAGCTCATCTGACTGCCTGGTGTGTTAGCACGTTTTGGGGTTCATCAAATTTAGACGTGACGTATTTTGTGCCATTATTGCATTGTGCCCTTCCCGTGTTCTTTCATTAAAAAGTAAAGCAAATGGTTAGTTAGGGAAAAATGACAACATTAACAACCACAGGTTCTCGCCACAGGATACAGAGAAATCACGCTAGAGCCGGGCTGGACCTCAGTAGCTGGCAGTCGGTGCTCGGAAGGTGCTCAGCAGGCTGGTGGGGAGAATTGCCACCAAGCATCTTCCTCAGCCATGCAACACCATCGTCCATGATTACCCACAAGACCCACCCAAGACTGGGTCAGATAGCATTCAGTGCGGCGGAGGGAGGAGGGGCTCTTGACACCTCACCCTTCCCTGGGATTTTCCGGCAGTTAATGGCGGACTTGGGGCTGGGGGGGAAGCAAGAAGTATTTTCCTTCAGTGGGCAGCCATATTACTTAAGCGCTCCCGCTCCTGTAAGCATGCTTTAACTCATGTTCATAGAAGCAACCTTTATAGAACCCGCTGGGTCACACACACATACATGGAATGGGGGGAGGGCTAATGGGAAGGGGAAGGGGAAGGGGACAAGCGGGAGTAGGAGGGAACAAGAGAGGGCAATGGAGGTGAATAGGATCGAAATAATTATACACATGCATGAAACTGTCACAAGCAACATGCTAATAAAAACATTTCACAAATTAAAAGCAAGAAAAAAACTGTTTTAGAATTTAATTACAATCTATATCAAAGATGAACATTAACAATTTTGCCAAGGGCTGGAGAGCTGGCTCAGCAGTTCAGAGCACTGGCTGCTCTTCCAGAGGTCCTGAGTTCAATGGTGGCTCACAAGAGGGAATCTGATTCCCTCTTCTGGCGTGTGTGAAAACAGAGCACTCACATGCATAAAATAAATAAATGTTTAAAAAGAAAAAAAGGAGAGGGAGGGGTAGAAGGAGAGGGAGGAGGAGAAGGAAAAGGAGGAGAAGAAGAAGAGGAAGAAGAAAATTTGCCCACTGGGGGCTGGAGAGGCTCAGAGGTTAAGAGCACTTGATGTTCTTGCTGAAGACCTGGGTTTGCCTCCCAGAACCCAGAACCCAGAACCCATGTGATGGTGCAACCAGTCCCAGGGGATCCAAAAGCCCCTTCTGACCTTTATGGGCAACAGGCATACGTGTAATATACAGACACGCAACACACACGCAGGCAAAGCACTCATACACATAAAATAAAAAATGAAAAATATCATTAAAGAAAAATGTTTCCAGGAACAGTTTTGGAAGCGGGCACTGTTGGAAGCCAGCCATAACCTGCTCAGTGGGGAAAGGAAAGAACAAATTCAGAACAGGTGAGATGGCTCAAAGACACTCGGAGCCAGGCCTGACCACCTGGGTTTCATCCCTGGGAACCTCGAAGTGGCGGGGAATAACTCCTGCAAGTTATCTCACATCCACACATACGCCATGGCATGCACAGACACACACACACACACACACACACACACACACACACACACACACACGTGTAATTAATAATTTTAAAAAGAAAAAGAACCAATTCAAAAATCACATGAGATGTTCTCCAGGCACGAAACACCTTCACTCCTGAGTGTGGGCCTCACGGAGTGCTGCTGTGTTTGGGGGCATATGAGGTATGGAAGTCAAACTTAGATTCTGATCCCAGCTCCACGGTGTAGCTTGACATGGCCCTGGGCCCACACTAACTCGGTAAGTTCCCCTTTCCACTAACAGTGCAAAAATGCCCATTCTTGTTTCCTTCCTGGGGGGAAGCCTCTCCCCATGGAGAGCGCAGCTGGGGCTCCAAGAGGAGCAGTTAAAATCACAGAGACTTCAGGACAGGCAGGCTCCCACAAGAAGCTCCATCGGTGTGTGCCCTGCCTCCCTGTGTCACAGCCAGGCTTCAAGTCTGAGGCTCTCCTCCCAGGTGCCCACAGTCCAGCCTTCCCTGAACTCCTGAAGGGGCTGGTGGCCACTCCTCTACTCACTCTGGACTCCATAGTCCAAATACGGAGCTTTGTCACCTGTGCCCTGCACAGTACCCAGTACTTGGCCTCCCTCTCAAGTGGGGGAGGCTGTTCGAGTTTTCTGTTGGAAAGGTGTTCTGAAGTCCTCAAGGGCTGGTGCCTCAGACATCAGGGCCTATAAGGAGCTACCGTGGCCCCAAGCTGGGGCCTGTCCCAGCTGGCCAAGTGTTTGGGAGGCTGCGGCGGACACAGGATTACAACACTGAAGCCTTTGTCCTTTTTTCAGACAGGTCTCACGTAGCTCTGCCTCAAACTTGCTGTGTAGCTGAGGATGGACTCGAACTCCTAATCTTCCTGCTTCTGCCGCCTGCATCTGATAGTATGATTATGTGCCACTTGCACCTGGTTTGTTTTTTCTCCTGCCCCCTGTCCCCCGCCCATGCCAGGGTTGGGACCTAAGGCCTTGCACATGCTAGGCAAGCATTCTACCACTACAGCCCTGAGCCCTTTATTTGTATCACATCAGACAACACTGCTTTTTTAATTCCCCAGGATGTATTTCTGCATTCCCAGCGTTGTAGCTTCTATCCTGTGCTTAGAAAGTCCATGTCTGGAAAGAGGATCTCTCCTAAGCCCCAAGGAAAAGGCACCAGCTCTGGGAGGGAGAAGGGCAGTCTCTAGCAAACGCTGGAATGGGGCTTCCCTGGTGCTGGAGGAAGATGGGTAGGGGTCAAAGGCTCCGGGACAGTCTCCAGCTGGGAGGCCACAGGACAGTGCCCCGAAGCCTTGCAGGGATCTCACACAGGCCCCATAGCCAACATGACTGTGACTACTCAGTAAGACAGCAACGGTGGGAAACTAGGTGGGAAAAGCCAGCTAGTATCTGAATAGTCAGAGTGAAGCTGTGAATAGTCACTGAATAGTCACTGAATAGTCACAGTGACATGAAGGAGACTCAGGAAGTCTTCCCAATGCCCCATGGAAGGCCACGATGGGCTGCTGGGATCGCGATGGACATTGTGACTCTAGTGGGAGCAGGGCTGGCTCTTCAGTTGGCAGCTGCCACATAAACCCAATCAAAACCAATGAAAGCAGCATGCCTCAGCAAAGGTGAGCCAGGCTACAGGAGAACCAGGGGCGTCTGCAGCCCCTAAGAAGACTCCCTGGTGCTTCACTGTCCTGGCCCTCTTTTAATTTTTGATTTTGAAACAGTCTTAATAGCCTAGGCTGTCCTTGAACTCACTCAGTAGCACAGGAAGGCCTTGAACATGAGATCCTCCTGCCTCAGCTTTCCCAGGAGCTGAGCTGATAGAGCCACTAAGGGGTTACTTTTATTTTATTTCTTTTTAAGATAGCATTATCATATATCTCAGGCTAGCCTCAAGCCTGAGGCTGACTTTGAACTTTTTTTTTGTTTTGTTTTCAAGGTAGGGTCTCACTATGTAGCCCTGGCTTTCCTGGAACTTACTATGTAGACCAGGCTGGCCTCGAACTCAAGAGATTCACCTATCTCTGTGACTTTGAACTTCTGATCTTACTGTACCTCCCATTTCTGTGCTTGGATTATAGGCGTGTGCCACCATACCCATGGCTTTATGTGTCCTAGGCAAGCACTTCACAAATTAAGCTACGTCTCCATTCTGGGGTCACTCCTGACAGTTTTCCTAGGACTCAAAAACTGACAGAGAGACCTGGATAGACAGAGATCACACCCTGCTCTTCCAGAGGACCCTAGCTCAGTTTTCTACATCCACATCAGGCAGCTTATAACTGCCTGTAACTCCAGGAAGGATCTGACACTCTCTTCCGGCCTCCTCTGATGCCTGCACACACATGGCGTACATGCACAGACGCACACACGCTATAGAGAAGATTAGATAAAGCTCCCGTGGGAACTAACGGCATTTCTCTTTCTGCAACACCCTGTCACAGCGTCAAGAGCACTTCCTGTGGCCTGCTATTCTGGCTGTGTCACTGCCCTCCTCAGATGGTGAGGAGGGAGCAGGGTGCTCAGGGCCCAGGAGTCTATGGGGTCTGTCAATGGTGCTGGGATGGCAGAAGGTGTGAGCAGGGCCAACCGCGCCCCCCCCCCCCCCCCCCGCAGCTCCATGGTTGTTGAGTGGGGGATTATCAACGGCATCCACATACTTATCTGCGGAAGAGTTGATGGTCCCCTTGATTTTGATCTCAAGTCCCTCCTTCAGCCCTCCTCGGATTTTTCCAGTAAAGGGGACGGCCTGCAGAGGGGAAACGGAGAGATATCAGTGGGCTGGCACTTGGCCTGGTGTGACAATACCCAGTTAGTGCTGGGTGGGTGGGCATGGCCGTCGAGGAGCCAGAATCCGAGCTGCACGGATCGTAGGGGCCCTCATAGAAGCAGGCCCAATCCAGTTAGTCACACAGTCGTTCTGAGAACGTCAGAAGACTGCATGACTGTGACCTGACCCCGAGTTCCACAGTGTGCAGGAAATGACAGCTGTAGAGCCTACCAGAAGGAAACAGCATGCAAAGGGCCTAGAAGGTACGAATTAGGTTAATGGTGAGGGCTGCTGGCCCCAAACCAAGCTCACAGGAAGACCTCAGGGTCCTGACTCAGGAGGCCGGAAGACCACAGGTATCTCTTTTGGAATGGAAGCTATTTCCTCCAAAGAGAGGGTCAAGAGGAGAGGAAGGTATCCCTTCCCACCACCACGTAACGACAACAGCCAGGACCTAGACCTGAGGCCTGCTTGGGCTTGTGGAGGCAGCCTTGCTCCTGAAGCTCTCAGCTTCTTTCCTTCCCTGGAGCCACCCCAGAAGCCTGGGAGCACCAGTGTGCCCTTCATCCCAGGCCCTCCAGCAGTCCCTCCATCTGGTCCCTCCACCTCTTCCCAAAGTGTCCTAAAGGAGTGCTGGGTCCCAGTGAGGGTCACCCCTTTTAGAGTCAGAAGGATTCCAGGTTTGAACCCTAGTAATGGATCAATATCTGTGTGGCCTTCGAAAATTTACTCTCTCTGCCTCAGTTTCTTCATTTGTAAATAGAAAGAAAGTACATCCCCTGCTCTCTGGCTCAGCTTCCTCACAAGGAAGGCTGGCATCCCTCTGCCCCTGACCTGCCTTGCCTTGTCCTCTTAGAACCAAATTCCCAAACTGATGACTTACCAACTTGCAGATTATCTTTTATGCCCACAGTGGCTTTGCCTCCTGCAGGGTCTGTCTCTTAGTTCATTCCCATCACTCCACCGTGTTTAATGGCTTTTCGAACATCTCCTTTGGGTGAACACCCTATGTAACCTAAATGTTCTAGGAGCTAGGACGGTGATGGAGCTGAGCGAAGTGGACAGTAGGGATTGGAACCGTCGGCCTCACGCCGTATCTCTAGCAGGGCACCATCCACTCAGCTCAAATGAAGGCTCATTGTCCAGGCCCAGGGCTGGCGGGGGAAGGGTGGTGGCGGGAGGCAAGCACAGGAGACAGTTCAGTACCCTGGGACCATGTTTGGTTTGGGGTCATGCCACAGCATCCCTTTTAATAATTCACTTGGCTGCCTCATTCCTTCACCTGTATATACCTTACATGCTCCCCTCTCCAAACGACACAGCAGCCTGGACTGATTAGGGGTGTGTGCAGTAAGGCGGAACAGTGAAAGGGAGGCTCTCCCATTTACCATCCCCTACCTCTGCGTGAGGGAAGGGACGAGCACTGTAGGATGAATGTATGGACCAAAGCAGAGAATCACTTGAACCACACCTGCTCATGGCCAGCTCCTTCTCTTGAACCCCCAGAAAGGAAGCCCGGAGCCTCAGCTGGGTCCTCAGAGGGCTCCAACGCCTCTGGCTCGCTTGTCAGCTTTGAGAGCCTCCCACTCCAAGCTGCAGCATTGTTTCACATGGAGCTGTGCGGCTTCCTCTGTAAATACCTGGGAGGCTCTCGATTTGAGCTCTTTGGATAAGACTAGAAGGCTCAGTGGTTGAGAGCACTGCCTGCTCTTCCAAAGGACCCGGGTTCAATTCCCATGTGGTTGCACCCACGTGGCAACTCACAACTGCCTGTAATTCCAGGGGATCTGACACCTTCACACTAATGCACATAAAATAAAGTTAAGTAAAAATATGAGAAAAAAAAAAAAAAACAAACAAACCTGGAAACACTGTGGATAGCAGAGCCGCCACACATTCACAAGAACAGAGAAATCTGCGCAATGAGAATGATTTCATGTTCTAATTCTGGGGTGCTGGGGACTCCTTTAAAATGTCTAAGAATTCTTGTTGGGTGTGGTTCGGCATACCTGTGATCTCAGGAGTTGGAAAGTGGATACAGAAGGATCTGGATTCAAGTTTATTTAATTAATTAAAAATACATCCTGTGTTGTAGATATATATGTAAAAGAATGTCTTCAGCGAGAAAGATAGTTCCTGGAATGGCCAGCCATTTATGACACTTCTCTGCAGGCTCAAATTAAGTTCTCACCCAACAGCCCTGACTGAAACGGCAGAAGGAGCTATCGAGAGATGAAGTTATAATACATAAATGCAGGTTTTATTGGAAGCAGCTCTCAGCCACCATGCAGGAGGAGAGAGAGACAGAGACAGAGAGACAAACAGAGAAGAAGAGGATGAGAGATATAGAAAGAAAGAGGAGAGCAGAGGAGAGAGAGATGGGGGAACCAATACATGGATCATATAGTGAAGGGAAGCCCCTGCCCCTGGGCTGGAAAATTCAGGGTAGTGGGCTGGGTATGCCAGCCACACCCTGCAGCGGGTAGGGCCTGAGGAATGCCTGAAACCAACCAAACCAACAGAAAACACCCACCCACCAAATTCAACCCTCTGGCTGTTAGGCCGCAACGCTGGATCGGGATCCACCATGCCTTACATCCTATTTAGGATGCAAAACATCCTTCCCTACCATGCAAAACTGCTCGCATGTAACAGTTCTCAAGCAGATGGATGGGACTCAAGGCAGATGGGCTACAGGATTGGCTATCTAGACATGGCTTTGCGACTATCAGTGCCTTCACTGCAAAGAGACACTCCCCCCCAGCAATAAGCTCAGAGACCTCTGATGTGAACTCAGACCCCCTCCCTCTAAGCCCTAACCTCACCCTCCCCTCTAAGACCGGCAACCTCTCCCCTCTAACGTCTATAGATTTAAAGAACTTCCTTGGCCCAGTGGCTTTCGCTTCTTAGTTCTGTTTGATCTCCACCATGATCCTTCCAGCTTCTCCTGCTGGAAGGAGGTGTCATTAAGGAATTTGATTGGCAGGAATGTGCCTCAGCTCCTGTCTATCACTAACCAACACCCCATCAAGATTCTCCCTCCTAATCTAACTGGCACTGTCTTCTTGGCCTTCATCCTGGAGTTGTCTAGCCATCCACAACCCCTCGATGCTCTAAGCCCATTTATACCGACCCCACTGTCATCATGTCCGGGAAGTGGCTTCTCCTATCTCATGTTGGCTCTGTCACTGAGTGTCAAATCACAGCTTGCCTGAGTCTGGGTTCCCCTGCTCACACCCTCCTCCCCACTGGCAAGCATGCCTGTGGAACGTGGAAGAACAGGCGGCCTGAGGGAATAGTGGAGTGGCAGGGCAGGAAATGTTTTGTTTCTGTGACGCTAGACCCAGAGTCTCGCACTTGCTAGACAAGCACACTTCCTTGAGTCCCTAGGGCATCCGAAACTCCTCCTGGGGGCTGGAGGAGTAAGAGCCCAGCCTGCTTTTCCAGAGGACCCACGTGCAGATCCCAGAACCCATGGCAGACAGCTCTCTATGAGCAACTCCAGCACAAGGATCCGGTGCCCTCTTCGGCCTCCTCGAGTGCCTACACACATGTGACACCACTCACAGAGACACACACAAACAAAAATAAAAATCAATCCTTTCGAAAAGAAAGAAAAAGAAACTCCTCCCATCCTCTAAACTGTCCTTAGAACTAAGCTGGCCACACACCTTGAAGCCTAAAACTGTGCCGATCTAGAAGCAGGCCTGGTAGCTGTGGGTATGTGCACAGAAAGTGTGGGAGAAAGACAGAGGCAGAGGAAAGATGGACACACCAGTTGTGGTGCTGAGCAGTATGGTTGGTCTTCAAAGTATCATATCAGTCCCCCTCCACACACACACACACACACACACACACACACAAACTGAGATTTCAGTGTCTTTCTTTGAGACAATCTCACGTAGCCCAGGCCCTCTGTAGCCAAGGATGGCCTTGTACCTCCTGCCTCAACCTCCCCAGGTGTTGGGATAGCTGGTTTGTACCACCATCACCACCTTAGAGTTTAGTATCTTAAATGGTATCCCCAAATTCTGAAACAGATTATTTTAACATGAGTGGATCTTATAAGCACAACAGGAGAATAGCGAAAGATGGGAAAGAACCTGAGAATCCACTAAAAGGAAAAAGTTGATGGATAATACTGGAAGGAAATGTCTTTGCTGTTGTTTTGTTTCTGTGATGCTAGGGATTAAACCCAGGGTCTCACACCTGCTAGACAAGCACCCTTCCTTGTGTCCTTATATACATATCATAAGTAGCAAGAAATAATGCTACTTGTGTGGTGGTGTCAATGCAGAAAGGATGAAGGTGGAAACTCTGAGTGAGGTCATGGAATGGCACCATCTGCGTATATTCATTCATTCTGTGTGGTTGTGGGGCTCAGAGGACAACAGGCAGAAGTGTGAGCTCCCTCAAGTGGTGGGGGAGGGTAAGTAGTGGGGAGGGGATTGTTGCCGGGCATTAAACCATGCTGAGCGGACAACGCTGTGTCATAGTCCTAGAATCTGAACTTCTGGTTTTGAGTCCTCCCTGACCAGTGACAGAACAGGGTGTTGAGTTAAACCTGGGAGACCCCATAGAACTCAGACCTTCAGGGAGTCAGGAAGGGATCTCAGCAGAAAATAATGGGACCTGCATTTGACCCCTGCTGCTCCTGGGAGTGGGTGGAGGTGTGTGTTTTCTTTCTCTCAGGATTTATGATCCCATAGGCCTTGGCTCCCAGCAGCTTGTGCTAGTCCTGATCCTGGGCAAGTCACTCATATATGTTTGCCCTAGTCCTTGCAGGGACTCATGGGCCAGCAATGGCAGCCTGAAGCATCCCTGGGAAGATGAAACAAGATGGCAGTGGGAAGTCCTGGTTCAGTGGGGGAACTGACTACAACTGTTCACCCTGAGAAGAATACACCCTCCTCCCTGGCCACACTTGTCTGCGACTCAGAGGCTGGGGACTTTTGCCTCACTTTCCTGTTGGAATGTGCAGAGAAGCAGAGCTTCTGGAGCTCTCCCTCATTCCTGAGGTCAGGGGGCGGGGTGGGGGGTGGGGAGCGGAGGTACCAGTTCCCAGGAAGCAGAGTGACCTCTGGGAACCACTTCAGGGGTGAACAAAGACTACACAGTCTCTGGGGAGTTGGTGGGGGTTCACAGGGAGGTGTGCATAAATGGTTAAGGGTAGGTATTCTAGGGGTGCTTTCATTTGCATTTGGCAGCATGGGTCCAATCACATAAAAGTAACTAATTATCCTAAAGGGACAGGGAGGGGAGTGCTAGCAGGGAACTGTGCCAAAGGTCATATACCAGATATGGTCAGAGGCAGTAATGCCTAAAGACACTCTCCAGATGAGGTCAGGCTGAGAGGAGGAGGCCCTGCTGGGGAGAGGGCTGTCCAGTCCTGCAACCTCAAATAGCAGGGTCCTCTGACAAGCTTACTGCCAAGGTGCAGTGAGCCCCATGGTCCACCGGGGCACACAGCGCAGGCACCAGCTGCGGAAGTATCTATCTGGCAAGCTTTCCAAGTTTTGGCTTGAGGCCCAGCTGTTGCAGAAGTTCAAAGGCCCAGCCAGTGCCCATTCTTAATGGCCGTGTCTCTTCCCTAAGCATCCTAACAGCCTTGGTTTTGGTGTCCTTGTGGATGAGGAAACGGAAGTGCAGAGACTTAGCGTGCTCAGAGCTTCCCAGCTGGTTAACGGCGAACCCAGGATTCCTACACTAGAACTCACGTTCTCAGTCAAGGCGACGTTGTCTCCCTTTCATGAGAAAGCATGTCCTTGGCTCCTGGCTCACTACGGCCACACAAAGGGGTCATCCTGACCAGCCCCAGCTTCTTCTGGGCCCTCAGGGGAGCCTCATTAGACACAGGAGTCAGCAACCAAGAATGGCCCTCAGGCTATGACAATGCCCCTTAGCAGACCGGAAGCAACGTGACTTTTGTACACCATCAGTGGACATGTGGCCACAGTGGCAGAGTCAGTGGGTCACTGAGTGAGACTAGCCTGTTGGGAGGAAGTGAGTGGTCCCCAGGGCAACTGAGGCCCATGGCCTTCATATCTCCCACCAGAATCTGCTTCATCTCTTCCTTTCCTGTGGGAAGATTTCCCTTCAGTGGGAGCACCACAGAAGACTCCAGGAGAGCACTCTCTCTCCCCATGAGCAACCCCTCTCCCTTTTCTGGGAATAAACCAGAGCGATTTCCTTCACTGTTACCCATCTGAGGACATGTGGCAAGACCTCAGCCTTTCAAAGCCTCAGTTTCCCCACTCACAGTGTGGCTACTGAATTTCCTAGTACGTCAACAAGGAACCTGCAGCCAGAAAAAAAAAAAAAAAAAAAAAAAAAAAGCACAAGGCAGCCCTTTGCATACCGCGCTGAAGGATAGTTCCTGTCTCTGTGCCCTTCTGCACACATTCTGGAGATGTTCTTGGGTGAACTCTGGCCCTTGGAGGACAGACACCTCCTTGGCAGGCCTTCCCTGCTGCCCCCCCAGGCTACCCCAGAAATACCTCCATGTACCAGGTGCTGTTTAAACACCCACTTGTATCTGCTTTCTCCTTATCCCAGCCTCGGGAGACAGACTCAACTGTTAATCCCTTATTACAGTGGTAAGTGAGGGCCAAAGAGAAGAAAGTACCATCTGTGACATCCGCTAGCTGTTAAATGGCTGAACGGACGTCTTCTCTAAAGCAGGTACCTTAAGTGCCATGTGGCTGTCTGGTACCTGCCCCCCCCAACCCCAAGCCCACCAACATCTCCACATAAACCATCTCCACCCACCGCCATCTCCATATAAACCATCTCCCTTGTAGATGCTTCCAGGCAGCGTGCAACAGGCACATAAGAATCCACCACATGAATGATGGTGAGTGGAATCCTTGGTTCCCCAGAGGCGCAGGGAGCCCAGCATGAGCAAGAGCCGGAACAGGATGACCCTGCCTGGTACGTCTGTCCTTCACGTGTTATCTATGGAACACCCCACCACTGTCCATGCCACACAACTGTTTCTCCAGCGACCCAGAGCAATCTCCCGCCGGCTGAATCATCCCGCAACTGCACCCTACAACTCACCGGGAACATGTAAGGAGTTTGGGTGTTGATGAAAGCCATCTCTTCTCTCTCTCTCTCTCTCTCTCTCTCTCTCTGGAACCACCTCTCACTCTCTTCCTCGGTAGAACGCTGGACAAGACTGCTGCACGGGGCGGGGCCAGGGAAGCAAATGGCCACTTGGCAGTTACTCAACAGGGAGGTGGGGTGTGGTCTGACACCTAGCCTCCTCCGTCCTTCCTGTGAGTGGCTGAGAACAGTCACATTTGGTTTCTGAAGCTTCTCAGCCTTGGGCCAGCCTCGGGCCCCCGCTGACGTGGCTGTGCTTGTGAGCATGTTTTATCACCGAATCCTGCAAAGCCCAGGCTCCTCTTTGCCTCTGTGTGGGCAGCCGTGGGAAAGGTCTGCTCCAGTGCATAGTATGTGCAGGGAAAATGATGCCCAGGAAATCCAAGGGGCATGAGTGAGGTTGCACAACTCTCTATGGCCACTCTAAAATATCTGCGACAACTTAGGCTTTTCAAAAGTCTTTCTCCCTCATGTGAAAGCTCAGCAATGTAGGAAGAACTATATTGCAAGAAAAAAAACCATCACCACTGAGGTTGTTTATGCCAGATATGGGGGTGCCCTGGGAGCTTCATTTCCATCTGCCTGTGAATTTATGTTTGTTCTCTTTTCCTTCTTATCTTTCTCCTTCTTCCCTCTGTTTGGAGTAAGAAGCGGGAAAGTACCTAATACAGTAAAATATTCCGAGTGACAGGAAGGAGGCGCAAGGGAAATAGTTTTCAAGCTAGGAGCAATGGCACATCATGAACTTCCAGTATGCCTTGTCTATGTCTAATACATACATACCTCCTCCCCTCCCTATCTTACCTCCCCTTTCCTCCTCTTCCTCCTCTCCTTCTTCTTGTAGGCCAGGCTGGCTTTGAACTCAGTATGCAGCCAAGGATGACCTTGAACTTCTGAGCCTCCTGCCTCTACTTGCAAAGTGCTTGGCTTACAGATGTGGGTCACCTGCTCCTGTTGGTGCTGGGGCCCAGATCTAGGGCTTCCTACATGCTAGGCAAGCACTCCACCAACTGAGCTACCCCACCAGCCTTCCCCTGCCTAAAAACAAAAAGCAAAAACCTGCACTTGTGGTTTAGGTTATGAGTAAGGGGAAGTCATTGCATGAAGCAAAGAATTGCAGGATAGGTTTGCAGGGGTGGGGGGGAAGGAGGGGAGCCGGGACAACAGACTTAGCGGGAGTCATTCAGGTCCCTGCCCATTGCATTTCTGCTAACTAGGAGGTTGCCTAGGAGCAAGCCTGTGGCGCAGTGGGCAGCTGTGTGGTTATTCCCAGAGAAGCAAGCTTTTCCCACAGCTTGTGGTGAGGAGTGCACCCCAACCATGGGAGCTGGTGCCTTTGGGACTGGTCCTTTTACATGGATTGGTGTGGCTTAACAAAAGATTTGATCACTTGCCTATATTTCGGCCATATAGTTGGGAGGCCCTCATCAGATGGAATCTTGGTTCGTGCTGCCCAGCCTCCAGGATAGGCAGAAAGAAACATACCTTCTTTATGAACTAATTAACCTAGGACATTTGTTACACCGTCACAAAATGGTTCTCCAGATACCAAGGGGAAAGCTGGTTATAGGCCAGGCCAGGCGCTTGTCTGTGACACTCTTTCTTCTTATGCTCAGCTTAGATACACCAGCATTCACAAAGACTAATTCTTGACTATGCTTTCATAGAGGCCAGGTGTCTCTTTACCTCTGTCCTAGTGACAAGTTCCTCACTCAGCAGGAACTGACTGGACCTAAAGAGCAGGCAATCCTGTTGGAGCAAAGTAAAAGGAAAATTCTTCGCAGTCCTCTGGATATCCCTGACATCAAAGGCCGTTTTGTCATGGCAGACAACCACCAATAGGTTGGGATTTGGGGCGATCAGAACCCCCATTCGCTACAAGTTGGGATGTAAAAGAACCCAGCACACGACTGCAGCTTCAGCCATGATACATGAGACATCTGCTTCCCCTACGCCCCGGCCATGGCTAAGCATTTTCCCATGGGTATTTTAGCATTTGAAGAGCCCTCAGCTCCCTGGGAATGAGGAATGCATGAAAGAGCCAGACACAGACCAGCCTGAGCTGTGGCAGTTCCATGCAGAGCAGCAGTTAGTCACGCCTGGAGAGGCGCAGGCTTCTGCCGGGGCTAAATGCTCTAGACCTCCGTCTGGGAGGCCGTCCCTGCTAATCATAACGTTTCCTATTGAAGTAGCAGTTGCATGTTTCCTTCTGGGTTGAAAATGCCCCCCATGAACCACAGCTAAAAGAAAACAAGTTAGAGCCAAGACGTGGGTCCAGGTGAGTTCAGGAAAACACCCTGTTGGGGATGACCTTTTATCTGGAGCTCAGTCACAGTGCCCAGTTACTCAGGCTCCACAAGGAGCTCCAAGCTCTGGCTTCTGTGACAAAGCTTTCTGGTTGTAGAAATTAAAGCCCCCATCTATGATCTTTTCCACTACAGAGGAACATAATGTTTTATCTTATCAATCTAAAAAAAATGACAGATTACACAATTAATTAGGCCACTGTCTTCCACAGCAGCGCTGGTTTACACTGATGATTCAGGGTCAAAAAAGGCTGTTATGATCACTGATGTATGGATAGAAACTTATTTTTATGCATCCATGGTTCTGTCCCATCTAAAGAGGCTTTCAAAGTTAAGACACAGCATTTATTTTAGTGTGCTGCCATTTTGGATATGCCAAGAGCTTTAAAAACTATTTAATGTTTTACTTCAAACGTTTTTAAAACTTGGTATCTAACTTTTAAAATTTCACCTACACTGGTATTGCCTGCATTTCACAGGGACAGGCTTAAGACACACACATCTAAATTACAAAAAAGGAGATTATAAATACTCGTCTCCTCATCATATTTGAAATTATACCTTACACCTCTTATAAAATAAAAGAGCTTACTAAGCAAACAATAAAAAGACTGGAAGTTCTATCTGAAGAGAAGCATTTTTTATGTTCTTACATAAACAAGATCATCTGTCTTGGCGAATGCCGGAATGGCTAATTAAACCTTAAGGAGGACCAGCCCCAGACCGGACACATCTCAGAAATGGCCTACTCCAGGAAGAGTTCCATTTCCCCTGCGCCCCAGATCCAGCCTCTCTGCCTGCATTGGATGCTCCAGCAGAAAAGGCCACTGAGGACATGGCTCCTGATGATCCTGATGGACGCTGACCCTGTCTTATTTTACCTTCTTAGGGGACACAGGAGATGTAAAATTGTTAAATATGGGTCTATGGATAACATTCGTATAACAAGTGCTATTTCACTATTTTATAAGTTCTCCCATAAACCCTAATGCTTTTTACTCATTGTGCTCATTTACTCATAGAATATGCCATCTCATATTCTACTATTATTCTTTCACAGCTTTGTTATGAAGATTTTACTATGCATGCAGTGAATTGAGTTTCTAATGCTCTTTCACAGCCAGAGAGATTTATTCCTGCACTTATTCTAGATAGTAAGATCTGTATGTCAGCTTCCGCTACCTCTCTAGTTCAATAGGAGCAGCACACCATTAACCATGTAAATTCTCAAATGACTCAAATGTTTCCTTAGCTCTGATTTCTCAAGATAATATTGATCAAGTGATGGAACCGGCGGTAGGTGATTCGGGACATGACAGAGAGAGTGGGGGGGTGAGAAATTACAGGTTAAAAGAAAGAGACAGAAAACCTAGGACAGTTTCGGGAGGGCATGCAGTCAGAATGGAAAGCACCAGGCTTAATCCACAGCTCCTGTTTAAAGACAAAGCAAACAGTTCACCTCGGTACAAGGACGGTCAAACTTGTCAAAGACAACATTTCCTGGATGGCAGATGTGGTCTAAGGTCTCACAGATGAGTTAAAGAAACTTGGCGAAAGCTCCTGCTTATTTCTGCTTCAAGGTAAAGGCTAAAACATGCTTTTCACAGAATACTCTATAACCACTAACAACAAAGCCAGGCAGGCAGCTGTCCACAGCTTGAGAAAGAACCTCTGCTTCCCGAAATAAAGTTTACAGACAAAACTGATGCCTTAGAGGAAGCCATCCTCTAATTAGAAACTAAGACTCAGTATATATTAAGGCATGCCTAACTGCCTCATGTCATGCTAATTATATATGGATCTGTGGTACTCCTTTGCCCTGTGTTAGGTCAGACATGTCCTGGGACCTGGCACACACACACACACACACACACACACACACACACACACACACACACGTACAAGGAATTTGGAACAGTTCACAGCTTTCGATCAACGTGAAAACTCTTCATCCCCTAATTTGGGGCTATCAGTCATTCAAATTAACAGGGCTCCTCTGCAGAAAAATTAGCTAGCCACTTTTCCAATCCAAATAATTATCTTGTTGAACATGCTTCTTTTGGGAAATCCCTTATAAATTTAAATTTTATTATGAAATTAATTATTTTATATGACATGAATATAGATTACAACATTCTGTTTTATGCTTACAGGGTGTGGTTTAGAGCAGATAACTAACTATAAACATGCATTGCTTAATTCAAGTACGCTAGCTTTCAGACCTCAGAGATCTGCTGAATATGGCATTTAGCATGGATGAGCTTATTAGGATAGACAGAGTCCCAAATTCTGACAGTAGCTCCCCAAGGTTTCCAAGAAGATTTGGGCACAACGACAAAGGACTTCAGCTCTGAATTGTGGTAACCTAACCACTGGGCAAGACTTCCCCAACTGGCCCGCTATGAAGGTCCAGCCTAAACTGTGGACAAACTGGACTCCCAAAGAGTTATTGTCTCAGGTTGCAGAACACAAGGTGAGGTCAATCTCTCACATGTCCTCATTCCACAGTAAAAAAAACTTCTCTTCTGCACCTGATGAGCAGACTCTGCCCACATTGCAAGGAAGACCTGGGACAACTGTCTAGGTAAAGGACAATGACTGACTAGTCATCCCTGTCATTTTGATAAGTACATAGATTCATTTCGATTACAATTTATCCTTCCCAGCTCTCTGATTATGTCGATGGCTAAGACAAGGCCTTAATTCTCATGCTT